ACTTCTCCCACTGGATCCCACAAACTGCCGTCTCGGTGGTTTGTTTTGTCATTTTAAAATCAGGCCCCTTGTCATTTGTATCTTGCAATTAATATACAGGACATGCTTGCAGAGAGATGAACCAATCTGTATTAAAACGAAAAATATATATATACAGAAATCCCATGCTAGTTGTCCTTTGGTTAGAATCGACCTTGCCATAGGAATGAGGAATTTCCACCACTGGCTCAGGGCTGTAAACAGATGAGTGCTACCTCTTCTCGTTTGAACAGGAAATCCCTTTATGGCTTTTTTTACAATGATAATTAAGAGCTACAGGATAATAACTAAATATATAACGATAAAATAATTCCGTGTATTTACCCAAGCAAGGCCTACCGAGCCACAAGACATTTTGCAGCATATTCTTTGCGTTCGGATGTTTGACCGGTATGAAGGAGGAAATCAGTTGAACCCAAAGAAAACTAATTCTAGATTTGAAGCTCCACCACCTCCTCCAACCATTATATAAACGGAGTGGTGGCTTCTGCAATCTCTCATTTACTTGATACAGCTGTCGTGGCTGTGACGGTACCACCTGAAGACGGAAGCTTGTGTTGCCTCCGAAACGTCGTGATTTTTATTTTATTTTACTTTTTAATGTTTTTTACCTACGTGACTTTACCGAAAAAACCTAAGAATATGAATACCAAAGAAAACTGTTCAGACCGACAAGAGAGGTGGTGGCATTCTGCACTTGCGTCGCCTCAACACCACGCAGCCCCTTGCCTAAGACACCTGGTAAGCCCCGTTGGTCACTCATCCGCGTACTAACAAGGCTAAACCCAGCTTAGCTTGGGTGCATTTGAGGTGATTTTCTTGTAAGGAAATATAATACACGGAGCATGCAGGCAAACATTAAAAATTCAGGACATGCATTTCCATTGCATGTCGAGACTATAAGATAGGCAACTTCTTCTTGGTTCTTTCGGTAAAGTCACGTAGAAGGGAAGTAATAAAATAATAAAAATAAAACATAATAAAATTATTTTTTATTTTTATTATTATTAAAAATAAAACATAATAAAATTATTTTATTATTTTTTATTTTTATTATTTTATTACTTCCCTTCTACGTAACTTTACCGAAAGAACCAAGAAGATGAATCCCTGCAGTCACGAAAGCTTTAAATCAAAATTTATAAGATAGGCATTTGAGCAAAATTATCAGACCTGTTTCTAAAATGTTAACACAGAAATGAAATGCTTCAATCATGGAATGATGTTTAACACGTAGACTTTCGCGACCAATATAATCCATACAAGTTTTTTGTTTGTTTAATCACGTAAATATGAATGTGTCATTAAACCCGACACAGCCAATTAGTAAGGTTTGTCACGGAAACAGAACGTGCCAATTCGTTACTAGTACAGCACACCGGTGTGTTGGAGAGTACATCCACAACATTTACAATGCGAGTACGACGTTTCGCCAGTAATTACAACGAACATCAGGCGACATCCAGATTTGGCTGTGTCGGGTGGTGGCGGGTTAAACGACACATTCATATTTACGCAGTCTAACCCAAAAAAATGTATCTGTATTATGGATGGAATGATGTGTTAGTCATTCTTCTCTACAAAGAGAAGCAAAACATACAAAATATGTACAGACCCATATATATGACATGTTCATAATTTTTCAAGAAGATCGTATGCAATGGCTCAATGGACAAGATAGAGATGCTCACCAATTTGGATTTAGAAACGCGTTTCTACCGCTGACCAGACACACGATCAGACTCTTGATAAGACAAATATCAAAAACCGCTATGCCGAGACTATGAGAAGGCTTTTGAGTTAGTGAATACTGATGCATGTATCCAGGGTCTCACAAAGCAAGGCCTTAGTTAAAAAAAAAACATTCATAGAAATGATCAAAATCTATTACATATGGAAAAGCTACACTGACGTTGCGTGCAGTAAGTGACAGTACAATTAATAATGTGCACTTACAAGGCACCTTTCACAGTATGGCTGAAACGCCAAGTGAGGCCAGGAGAACGCCCCTCATTAGAAGTAGTCGCGGTGACAAGGCCACATCACCAGTAGCCACGATCCACTGCTCAATGAAGGTCTCCCAAAATGCAACGCAAATATCAAAGCATTAATTGCTGGGGTTGAGCAGCTGCTACATCTATTCTTTCTTGAAAGGGTAAAAGCCTATTATTTTTTCATCATCTTGATAGTGGGCAAAAAATATGGGACCTACAGCTCAACCTCTAGCTATTAATGCTTTCATATTTGCATTGCCCTTTGTGTGCTGTTCGCCTTTTGACGTTCTCTGGTCTAACACCGGTGGTGAGACAAGGCCATAAAACAGGCTATCTGGTGTAGGCGAATCTGTTTCAATGCATACGTTATAATCAAAGCACGTGCGTTTGCATGCTTTACCACAAGAACGTTGTGGTGAATGCAGACTCGATGCCTTGTAATAGGTGTCTATTTGGTGTTTGAGCACCTTAATCTTCTGTATTTTTGCCTGTTCTTTTTTCATCATCTTGATACTGGCCAACAAAAAGTTATTTTGTCAGCCTATCTGAAAATACCTTATCCTTTTAAATCCATGCCATTGTTTCTCTAAACCAGCTTTCACGAAACATCTTCTAAAGACGCTGTGAATAATTTTGGCGAAGGAGCGCCACGTCGCCTCACTTTGTACGTACAATTTTAGTGTAGTTCTACCTCGTTTTCATTCTGTTATACTTCTAAATATTTGTAATTAGGTTGTGGTTTAAAACCTTGGATGACTGCATCAATTTCCACCCAGATGCCTCTTCATAGTCTACAAAAAAGTAGACACCGTTGCTCTTTTATATCCATTGGTCTGTTGAAGAATCTGATTGAGAGTGTGCGTGCATGTGGCTAACGGTAGAAAAACATTCCCCAATTCCAGCGCGGCCTGCGGATGGTGGGCCTGCGTTTTCCTAATACCGTAAGAGCCCCCGGGACCAACGCGCACGTCATGGGCTGGCTACCCACGTCGTGAAGGTGAAGATGTGTGAGCTGCACAAAACGTCTTTCCGGTGTAGCGCCGCTTCAAGTGCCAACAGCGCCACCGCGTAACCAACTCGCAACGAACAGAGTTGTAAAAAGAATGACGCAAGAGAAGCGTTTTCGCCAAGAGGCGCAGTCCTTTGTAAACGCACAGCCGTACATTTGAAAAACATTCAAGCTTCGTCGAAGCAGTCGGTTTGTTGCTACTGGAGCGCGCCACCAACGAGAGAGGCGTCGCAGAGAAGGTTGGGGGAGGCCCCTCGCCCCAAGCAGCTCCAACACTGTCTACCTGCTCCCACATACCAGGGCGGATACCTTTGCAAGGTCAAGGTAAAATGTAATACCTCGGGACTGTACCCCTCTCCTCAGCGATGTAAAACCAAGCGATGTGAACTTCACGTGAGGTTAACTTTGTTGTGTTTCGGGAGTACGGGACTTGTCCCGTGGTAAATCTGCATCTGAGCCAAGTTAGATTGGGGTTTTCACTGTATTCTGTTCCCAATGATGATCATGAACAATTAATATATGTGATAAGAGGCTAATGGATCAGTTATCATTTTTTGATAAACAACAGATGCATTATTGCATGATTGAGGTATTTATTTTCTCTAGAGACATTTCGATAAATAGGTCTGTTGCTTTAGTGTTAACAACTGGTCATGGTGCTTTGATGATGTCCAATTATACCACACTGGCCCCAGAAGTTTCCCTTTTTTCATTCTGTGAAGAGCAGCGTTTTCATCATTCAAGTGCGACATTTGTTGGAACGTCTTCCTTTTCATCTGAATTATCTTATCATTCCTGGGAAACGAGAATTGTTTTTGTAATAAAGATCTCCAAAAAATCCTAATAATTTCTGTCAACGCGTTATCTCTTGCCACGTGCTACAATGCCACCTTTCTATCCCCTAAACCAGGGGTCCCCAACCCCCGGGCCGTGGACCAGTACCAGTCTGTGGCCCGTTAGGAGCCGGGCCGCACAGCAGCAGGAGGTGAGAGCGGTGAGTCCGCGCGTGGCCCGTCCATTATTATATTATTTACCACTTCTGTCCGTGCCTCTTTCCCGCACTGCGCACTTGCCTCAGTCACAGTGTTGGTAAGCCCACAAGCTCTAACCCCTAGCCACGATGAGTCAAAAACAAACGTTGCTGGAGAGCTTCTTTGAAAAGAGGGAAAGACCCAATGATGAACCTCCACCCCCCCCCCCCCCGGTCCGTGAAAAAAATTGTCTTCCACGAAACCGGTCCCAGGTGACAAAAAGGTTGGGGACCGTTGCCCTAAGGGTTACCAATATGTGAATCTCTACTCATCACACTCCCTTTTTTCCCTGCTGTACTTTCAACCGTCGTTCATCTCCTCTACGCTAAAAACAGGTGCCACTATGCGGAAGCGTGGCGTTCTCCGCCTTTTCCTCCTCGCCTCACCGATTCCACAAGGACTCGCAATTTATTTCTCTACGTTTTTGTCCCCCAGTTCGAAGATCGCATCCCGAGGTAGTGCACCACGCATCGCGTGTGCCAATCGTCAAGCGGCGGAGGCAACCCTCCACTCCTTACCCAGCGATCCTTGATGTCAGTTACTCTTACACCTATCTTTGTTTTTTGTGTTTATTTATAATCAACGTTTTTGTGTTAGATCGCGTTATTTATAAATGTGTCGTAACCCTCCACCACCCGACACGGCCAATCAGTAAAAAAGTGTCACGTTGACAAAAGACAAATAGTTCACTGCTTTAGCCCACCGGTGTGTTGAAACGTGAAACCACAACATTTACAATTTGAGTACGACGTTTCGCTGGTAATTGCATCCAGCATCATCGGGCATCATCGGGCAATTCGCCACGCTTCAACACACCGGTGGGCTAAAGCAGTGAACTATTTGTCTTTTGTCAACGTGACACTTTTTTACTGATTGGCCGTGTCGGGTGGTGGAGGGTTACGATATATTTATAAATAACGCGATCTAAACCCAAAAACGTTGATTATGAATAATATTGGTCGCGAAAGCCTCCTACGTGTTAAACTTTTTGTGTTTAGTTTGTTGTCCTTCCCACGCACCTCCAATTAGCACGGTTGGCCACGTACGATGTGAAAGAAGTTCAACGTAAACCTAGCCACGATTGCTTGATACAATCCCAGTTGCGTGCGAATTAATATCCGTGTCTTTGTTGTTGTTGCTGCTGCACTACGAGTGGGGGAGAGGTACGCGACCATACCTCGCCAGCGTGGTCAGTGCGGGTTGGTGACGGTACCCCCCACGGGACTCTGGGTGCTCACTGCTCCCACTCGGGTGACCCTCAGCCACTTGGGAGTCAACAAAGCACATGGCCAATACAACTGTATTAGCGATATATAGCACCAAATTACTGCATAGCAACGAATGTGACATTTTGTTTCAGATATTTGTTACTCCTTGTAACTGTTATTTGTACGAATTATTATGCTATTAGAAAGATATGTTATGCTTTCATTATGGTACTGTTTCTACTGTATCGTTATTATATTGACTGGATTTATAGAGTTGTCACCCCCGCCATAGGAATGTGGAATTTCCACCACTGGCTCTCAGGGCTGTAAACAGGAGTGAGCATCACCTCAGTGCTCATTTGATCAAATAAATCACTCTCTGGTTTTTGACATTTATATACAGAAGTTAAAACGCAGCGATACCAACCAACTAAGATTTTTCACATTGGATTGTAACTACAGCTGCCAGAGTAGACTAAAAGGATAAAGATCACACAAACATCATGGCCATAGTAATGAAAGGTTGCTATTATGTTTCCAATACTGATTGTCCTGTAACTGTGAAACGTTCTAGAAGGCCATGCTATACAGATACATGAGGGTTAATTAATCAAGATTACAAAACTGTTCTCAATTCTATCACTGAGTTTTACGCTCTATATTTAAACACCTGCAGTTATTTTAGATTTCATATGCCCATCTCACCCAGAATGTACCCGATTTCATCAGATATCCGACGCTTAGCCGATTTTGAGCCTGGATAGTGCTTGGATGGGCGACCACCATGCACACAGATTGTCAAAGGCGGTGGGGCCAGGGTTGTACTACGTTGTGGCCATACGAGAGCGGTGCAGCAACATCTATTGTACTGTGATTCTATGCTCCCACATCTATGCTGCTCACCCCGACCAACCAACGATGACCAGCGTGGTGAGGTATTGTGCAACTACTGCACAGTGGACTGACAAGAAGGGCGGCCATGTACATGTTTAATTTATGTTTTACAATTAGGATGAATTATAGTTACGATAACTATTCCTGTAATAATGAACCGTTGTTATAACACTAAAATGTAAAAGTTAACGACTGTAATTTAACCACGACTGCAGCAATTGTGAATTATAATTTGAACAACAGCGCCCCTGCGTAGGTTTTCACGGTCATGCCATGTAACTCTACAATCTATTTTCGGGTCATACCGCGTGTCCTTCTGCACGATGTCCGACGTTTTGCTGCACGCGCCTGGAGCTTCTCCAGGAATAAAATGTAGGCGCGTGCAGCAGAACATCACGGCAACTCACTGCATAACACACGGTAAACGTGTGTTATGCAGTGGTACAGACTCTTTTGGCGAGCTCTACTTTGCCAACGAACTGCCGAAAACGGTGCATGAATCTGTAAGAAAGATGATGTCCAAAATTCGGCCGTGGTGTAGTGATGATGAAGTCCCAACGCCGGCCCTCACACAAGGCGTCACTTAGACGCAACCGTTTCAACTTGTAACGCATGGAGTGCAGGCTCACATATGTATTTAAAATGTAAAAAAAAAAAGTTTCTTTACTATTTAAGGACACTTGTGTGTGTATGTTGCAGACACTTTGTACGACGTCAAGATGTTGCAGTTAAAATTATATATATCACACCGTATTTTACTTTTGTCAGTTTCTGCAACATTATATGCATATTTAATCGGATTCTATACTGAAACGGGAAACACTGCTGGATCAACGGTGACGTGCTGGGCAAGAAACGCGAACAATTTTCCTTTTCCATGAGCCATCGCTCAGGCTTTTAAGTGCGACTTTTATATTTTTCCACTTTGACCTCGAACTGTTATGCAGGTCATGGGGCGAAGAGCTGCAAAAGAAAGTCAGAAATACATTGTTAGAAAGAGTGGTTGTTGTTGTGTTTGTAACGAACTTACTTTTAGGTTCTGGATTGCAAGTCGTGTAACAACAAAAAAACCTCCCACCGTGGCAGATAAAATAACTGTCTTTTTGTTTAACCAGCTGAGCAGTTAAGGGACAAGGATGGACGTCTCATTGGCAAGGGTCACCCGGGTCACCGAATGGAGAAAAGCCGAAACAGAGAAAAATAATTGCACCGGTTAAGCAATTACAAAACGGTGGATGTTTGGCCAGCGTGGGAGAGTAGGCCAAAGTACGAAAAAAAAATTTGACAAATAAATAAACACCATTACTCGTAGCAGTGACATGGTACAATTCTGCTACGGTACACTGTGTTCTTAAAAAATATATTAAAACACATTTTGAGTTGCAGCTGCATTTATATGCCATCAAAGCAAATTGTACAATATCGTAAGACCAGAAGAAACAAATGTAGGGCTCCCTTTAAAAATAGCTTCCAGGCTCTTTTGACATTAACGAGATGGCACTTTCTCGGTGAGCGTGGAGGTCAGTGCGTGTGGGTTTGTTAAATCCACGATGCGATTTGTTGGGAGCCTCACGGCCGCTGACAACTAATGCACCCCTTTAGCCCCAGATTTCACGTGCTCTCGTCACCGAATCGGCCCCCCGAGACCCCAATGAACACACTTCTTACACTGAGAAAATAACCCCGGGGGGGGGGGGGGGGGTGAGCCAGGGTTCAAAGGTGCTGGCTTAGTATACTCGTGTGGACCTCTGGTCTCCAAAGCCACCCAGTTTCTTCATTAAACTTAATCTTAAGAAGTTGCGAAATAATAATAATAATAGGGTGAGAAAATACGCAATACCTTGGTCAACAGGCTTTGCTCTCTGTCGCAACACCCGGCCACTGTCGAACAGCTGAATGTCATCATCATCATCATCATCTTCTTCTGCACTGCAAGGATGTGAAGCAAAGTTATGATTTGTGTTTAAACAAACTTGTATAATCTATTCCATTTGTATGCTTTTTTTACACTTTACAACCTTACACAATAAAATACCGCATTATGCAGATTATAAGGCACTTTTTAAACTTCTATTTTAATGAAAAAGTTGGGTGTGAGTCGATAAATCCAATTTAGGTGTGTGTGGAACCAGATTTATAAAACCTTATTCACTCCCAGGTACAAGCATAGGCTGGGATTAAGCTTTCTGGAGAATATATTACAAGCCTATTTGGGTTACTTACTATATCATGTGCATCTCATTTAAAGCCTGCGGCCTGTTGAAGAGAAAACACGAATCGGTCATCAAATCCTTTCAAGAACACCTATGCAGATAAGAGTATTTATAGAGACACGTGTGGAATATGTCTTTGCAGTTGTTCGGATGTTGGAGACATGTTCAAGGTATGGTGCCGGCCAAGTGTGTCGGTTTGAAATTCACTGTGAACGCTAAGCCCAATTGCATGACCGTTAGCTCAAGCAGTGAATGATTATACAGTTAGTACGGTGATGATCTGATGAACGGTGCAGCGTAACTTATAAAGTATGTGTGTTGAACTTTTTATCCGGACCGTACGTAGCCAAACAAACTCGATCGAAGGTGCGGGGGAAGGATAACACAAAACACAAAAAGCTGAGAAATGCCACAGAGAGAAAACATATCTGCGAAACGCCAAACACACATTAATGGAATTGGTCAAACATCCCAATGCAGCACCTTCCTAAAAAAATAGTATTCAGACTCAGTGAGGATTTCACTGATAAACAAGGGGCATTATATAATAATCATCATCATCGTTTACTGGTCTCTGTCACGATTGATTGCGAGACTTGAAAGGTCATGGGGTTAGGTTTGCATGAATTCGAGCGGCTCTCCCATCCGTCTTGGTGAGGTGAAGGGCGTGGAGCGTGATGTCCGGTGGTGAGGGCAGGTGGGGTGAGGGCAGATGGGGTGGGGGGTGGGGGTGGTGCTCACTCGGGCACCGCGCGGCGCTCCCTCGTCACCAGACTCGGCTCGTCGGTGAAGAGGATGGTGTGGCATGGCACGGGCGAGCGCGACGAACGCGGGGACCCCCTGTAAGGCGACCCCCTCCGTGACACCCCCGAGATTTGCTCCAAAGTCCCGTTGTACACCAGCAGGTCGTCGACGAGGACCTGGCGAAGGGGGCGGCACGGTTGGGGAAACCGGTGTGAGCCCTCGGGACGAGGGTTTGAACCTCGCTGCGATGCCACGGCATGGTGTTGCACATCTGACTCGTCTCCTGCGACTGAGGTTGATGCGCGGAAAGGTCGGATATGTGAACTGCTGTGTCTTGGCCCTCCAGAGCAACCCCGGACTCCTTAATCAGACCAGAGGCAGAGAAGCTTCAACATGAACGAGTGCTTTACTGAACGACTCCAGGAAGTGGCCCCGAACCCCAGGGACTGCGGTCCTTTATAGCTACCAGCGAGGCTTGACATAACGTTATGGACCGCGGAAAATTACACCCAAACAACGAAACGTAACATGAACGTCTGAAGAAAAGTTAGGTACGTGCCACGCACGAGCAGGCCGCTGGACAAAAGTCAAGCGCAAGCTACTTTAAACGTAGGGAAATACTTTGCTGTGCTTGAGAAGTGAGAGGATGGTACGTGATATTTTTAACAACATATTGCCGAGCGTGAAAAGGTCGGATTTTTGCACAAATTCTGGACTAGGCATGAGCGGTTAATTGGTCAGGGCTGATATATGACGGTCGAATATGCAACATTGTACTGCATACGCAAAATAACATCATCATATACATTTTTCATGAAATCACACCGACAATAATTTGAAGAATGAAACGAGTTAATATTTGTACTTCTGATGCGAGTCAACGTTAACAGCAGAATTATGAGGGGAAAACACGTATTGTATATTCAACGTCTAGTTACAAATAGGTACGACGTGGCCTGTGAACCAGACACAAGATCGGTCTACGGATACACTCGCTCGTAACAGATTTATTGAAACGTACCCCAAACTCCTTGACACCCCTCGACGGCGTCTTGCTGTAGTTCCACAGTTTCACCATGGACACGGATGTCGGGTGGTCGAAAATGATGTAGACCCGATTCACCTCACGGAACAAACAACAAGGACAACATGAACACAATGCCGCTGCCGTATTGTCCAAGTAACGGGTTTGTTATCCGCGAGCAAGCGTCGCGGAGAACTGTGAAAGAAAAGAGCGGAAACACACGAGCATCGTCTTAGCATCTCCACAAACTCTTAGTTGTTTCGTTAAAGTCACGTAGGTAAAAAAATGAAATTAAAATTAATAAAAATAAAAGAATAAAATTAATGTAATTTTTTCACCTACGTGACTTTACCGAAAAAACTAAGAGTATGGATCCTTGCAGTCACGAAAGCTTCAAATCTAGAATCTCCACAAACTTCTCGTCAAGTAGAGATTCTCCCGTATAATATTAATAACAATACACAGTGCGCCTTCTTGTGTTCGCTTCCAAAGGACGATATGTCAATCACACCACCAATCCCTCCATGGCAGCGTTCTTCATTGCAAGGCCCGGCGGGGCCACTGGCGGCCCCTGGTGGCCTTTAGTGCAGCCCCTCAAGTGCATCCTCCCCGGCAATACACACAGAGTGACAACACCCCCCACCCATCATCATGGTGCTGCTGTCAAACCCCCAATGGTTTCAAATGTGTGGTGGCCCCTCCTCACACTGCTGATGTCTCATTGGCAAAAGTGATCACCCCCCTTGAAAATTAGTGAAGAGCACGGCTCCACACCGTCGAGTTCAGTCGCCCTCTGTGGCCATAAGGGGAGGGCGGCCCTCACCCATCAGGGGGGGGGGGGGGGAGTGTTTGTGTGGAAGCTCCGTGGCCATGCCAGGCCTGGCGCGTACACCAACGCGGAGCCGCCGACTTGGCGCGCCAGGGTCGCCCGCGGCCGGGTCACACACCACGGCCATTGGGCCTGGCCTGAGGCCATCTGGCGAGCCGGGGGCCTATGTACAAGCGTCACCAATTGATTTGGGCACCACGGTGGCGAGATGTTAACTCCCTCGCCTGGTATGCCGGAGTTCGTGGGTTCGATCCCGACCCTGACGCCTGCTGTATATTTGGAGTTTGGATTTTCTCCGTGTCCTCTGGTTTTTCCCTCCACACGTAGAAATGTGCGTTTGGAGTATTTGGCTGTGATAAATTTGCACGCGATATTCCACTTCGTTGAGCTATCATTTGTGATAGCCAGGTCGCTTCTGAAAAAGGGCTACGTAGCTCAGTGCGGCCTTACCTGGTAAACAAATGTCAGGTGGTCTGTTGTGAGTCCCAGGCTTTGCAGCCACCCTTGGATGGCGAGCTGATTGCACTTGCTCTTACGCCAATCGGCGACAGTAGTTATGGTTGCTGAATGAATACATTGTAAGGTGGCGTTCATCATACACCAACTGCTTGTCAAATGAACCACAATACCTCGCTGATCTCATCAAGGAGCACAAATCATCACCACGCGACATCCGGTCATCCTTGCAGCAGCAGCGCCTTTTGGCTGGCCATCGAACAAAGACGGTCACCGCATTGCACGGCGCTTTCAGATGCGCTTCTGCGGCTGTCTGGAACGCTCTTCTGATATTAGGAATTCACCGGAGCTGTGCACTTCTAAGTCATGTAGTTCAAAAACTAATTTCTTTATCTTGTTTTGCTTTCCCCGCTGATTAGCACGGTTGGCTATGTACGGTACGAAAGAAGTTGAGCATCCACACACAGAGTAGTTGAGACCATCACTCCCCTCCGAGACACGAGGCGACACGACGAGGGGGCTGCTGTGGCTAAGCCTCGTTGGCAAGCGCACCGCGGCGCACAACGGACGTGTCCTTGCTAAGTGCTGGGTCAACACAGCTGGGAATCAGAGCGCCGCTGGTGGGGACCTCACACGGCAGAGATCCATCGCAGGCGTTCTGGCCTGCCACAGGGCCTGCCAGGCCGTGTTGACGACACATTTGTCACGCTTAAGGTGTGCGCAGAGGGATATTGTATAACTGCGGGCTGCTTTTAAGCTGGGGGTAGCTTTCGGGTGTCACTGATAATTAAGGTTGCCACCCCTGAGTTACAAAGAACCAGAACATATCACCGGGAAGAATATCTCACAACGGGAGATGATTATACAACTGACACAAACAAACCAGAGACTTCCAATGTCCCGGGAACACTTGCTGACTTCCCAGGACAGCGGCCTCAACAGGAGAACGATCGTGGAAAAAAAAAACCCGGGGCAGCAGCCAGCCCCTCGTTGTCCCAGGTGGCAACCCGACTCATAAAATGCCTAACAGCATTCAGTTGATTGTCCAGCATTCAGCAAGCGGTGTGGACTACGGCTCCACATTTGTGTTCAGCTGGGGGCAACGGCAGACAAATGCAAAGTGCTGCAGTCTGTGGTATTGACGTGTGCCCCCCCCCCACCCCGGTGATGTGCCCAGCGCATTTCCAGATGGGGGACACTCGGGCAGAACGTTTTTCCTTTGAGAAACTCCAAACGAGGGCGGCAGGCGATGGCACCTGTCACCTTTGACTTGGGAGCATCTTCACGAGCGGAGATGCGGCTGCCTCCTCTCCCTTCAAGGCACTGGTTGAGGTTCAGGTCGAAGGTCGTGTTGACAGCCTTAGATTCACAGGGCTTTGGTCAACGTTCCTTGAAGTGTAAACTAAAATATTAAAACTATATTCTATTTTTATTAGTCCAGGTAAGGCCCCACTGAGCCATATCGCTCTTTTTTAGAAGCATCCCGGCCACAAATGATAGCTCAACGAAGTGGCTCATGTGGACATTAATAGCAGCAGCCAAATCTAAAGGCATGTTGATTCACAATGTAGAGGGGAAAAACTGGATGACCCAGAGAAAAATCCATGCGACCACGGGGAGAAAGACATGCAAACTCCAGGCGTCAGGGTCGGGATCGAACCCACGACCTCCTATTTACCAGGCGAGGTAGTTAACATCTTGCCAGCATGGCCGTATCGTGGCTGAACACCACATTCATATAATAAAGTTTTTTTTTAATTACCGTTACAGACGCTCATCGTGCTAGCAGTCAATTACATGGTGTTAATTATTACGTGTAAAATGAGCGCTGCATCCGCGAGATATAACAACTGTCATATCCAGTTTTAACAACTTAATTTCAGATCATTCCCAGTTGCACAATGGTTAGCGCACTGCACTAAGAACCCAGCTATCCGAGTTAAATTCTCAGACGTGAATAACATCAATGGAGACTGACATTCGAATGGGCTCTGAACCTCACTTCACCGACTGACATTGACGAGCAAGGTGAGGTATGGTCAAACAACTGCCTTGTCTGACGCGGCACGGGGAGGGAACCTTGCTCCAGCAGTGAGCAGAAAAAGGACTGCAAATATTCTAATTACGAAAATGTTGAAGTTGTTTTGAAATGCGATTAGTTACGTTTCAAAAAAATATTATTTATCATTTCAGAACTTACGCAACATACAGACAGGCAGAGGCAGACAGGCTTTTGGTGCCAATGCTGAATCGATTTAGCAAGCCTGGCTGCTTGCCTACCTTTGGTGTAAAAAAAAAAAAATCTGTTTGCCGACGTTCCTCATATTTACCACTCCGGGCAGGATGGGAGCCAGCCACATGTGCCGACCGTTGTGGGTATCGTTGACGCCGTCGATCAGCTTGTCCGGAGTGCGCACGTCGCCGCACACGCCTTCCAGCACGTTGACGCTGTCCGGGAAAGCCGTCATGTCTGATCGAGGGGGGGAGGTGTCAAGGCCGCCGTTCAGCGTGAGCGGAGCGGGGAGCGGGGGGAAGGGGTTAAGCAAACGTGGAGGCTCAATTGTGGCTCATGCTCGCCGTCGAACGAAGACGGTGGTCACCGCATCATCGTGTGGCGCTGTCAGACGCGCTTCTGCGGCCGTCTGTGGAACCCCTCCGCCTTTCCGATGTCAGGAAGTCCACTGGGAGCTATGCACTTTTACATCATCTGGATTGAAAACTCTTGTTCTTTAGGACTGCGTGTCGTGTTTAGTTTGTTGCCCTTCCGCCGCACCTCAGATGAGCACGGTTGGCTACGTACGGTGCGAAAGAAGTTCAACGCACGTACGCACATTCCATCGATTGAGGAGTCGCGTCCGATGAACCGAGGAACTTTCTCATTTTCAAGCATAGATAGCCGGCTCCGCACTGTCTACATTTAGCTGCAACATGATCAAATGATAACAACACAAATTGTATCGAGTAATAAGTCCAAGAGGCTAATGATGCTTTGTATATTTGGTCAATTCCATGAATGAGTGTTGCATGTGGGAGGAAGCGCAGACGAACGAGGGCACGAACACTCAAAACTCTAACAGTTACATAACGCATCAACGTGAATGGAGTGCCCAGCGTGTTTATCTCTTGTGAATACTGCAGCGCATTAAGGAAATTGTGAGACTTGAACCCTCCCCACCGACTTGACAAACTAGACAACAAATCCCGCATTTGCTTTACGAATTGTACGATGCGCCCCCCCCCCCCACCCTGTATTTTAAAGTCGAGAGTTGTGTGTTTTTTTGCGTTTTTAAATCCTTTATATTAAGTTCGCTTGCTTGCTTAGGACCATGCAAATCTTTAGGTCGTTTTTTAACCCACTTCCCGTGATCCAATCTAGCTGACATTTTGCACACAGACTCGTTGTGCGTGACAATGCATTTTCGTGAAAAAATTTTTCCTAAATTTTACACTGTTTAGGGAAATTTTTTTAAATAATTAATTACCAATTGTTTAATGCTGCCAGAGGACGAGAGGACTCTAGCCGCCCCGATGCCACGCATATAAAGGATTTATAGTGAAAAACTTTGTTTTTACGGGTTTACTTGTTTCTCCCAATATGAACGCTTCAAGATCGAACTGTAGCTGTCGCAGAGGCGGCGAGGATACGGTTCTCCGTGAGGGGAATGAGCTGTCCCTCGGCGTCGTAAATCTCCAGGCCGTTGAGCCCGATGTAGTACGGGTCGCCCCAGCTCGTCAACAGCTGAAGCTGGAAGATAACTAATGCAGACGCGCGTCAACGGTCAAGGAAATTACACATTGTTTTTTTTACTTTCACCAACAACAGCAAGGTAACACAATTGCAGTCGTAACAGAAATCCCGAGGAAGCACCACGCACGTTTAAGTGTAATTGTGCGCATAGGGCGGCGGTCTTCACTTCAAGGCCACGTGGGCCACTGGCGGCCCCTGGTGGCCTTTAGTGCGGCCCCCCGACAGTCCACACAGAGTGGTGACAGCACCTCCCATCATCATCGTCGCCGTCGTGCTGCTGGCAACCCCCCCCACCCCCCCCCCCGATGGTTTCAAATGATGTGGCGGCCCTCACACTGATGATGTCTTCTCGACGAAAGAGCCCCCCCCCTCACTCCCCCCCCCCCCCCCCCACCTGTGAAAATGAGTGACGAACGCTGGTGTAGAGCACGCGTCATTTTTGACAACTTAAAACGAGGATACATCCGCAAGGCATCGCGGGTGCCTCGTAGGCCATGCTTGGCTGCTCGATCGTCTTGGGAATTTGCCTGAATGAAATGTAAAAACAAAACACAAAGAAGCTGAACGCGAGTTAATCGGTCAGAGGCGTTTGCCAACCGACGCGCAAGGAGGTTCAGCGTCTGCGCCGCACGCCGCTGTCGTTTCCAGGTCGTTCAGTTCAGTTCAGTTCTTGAAGAAGGAGAGAAAGGTCATCGTCGACGGTCATCGAAAGGTCATCATCGACGAGCAGCTCGCACGCACAATCGCCACGCTGCGCGTTCGAGACGGCTCTGGTGCGCAGTGTGAACACTGGACACGTGCGATCATGCATCGGTGTCAGGCATCGTTTTGCTCGTTTAACACGCAGGCTCTCGCGACCGATATTATTCATAATAAAGGTTTTTGGGTTAGATCGTGTAAGTATATGTGTCGTAACCCTCCATTACCCAACACAGCAAATTAGAAAGGGATTTGTCACTTAAACAAAACGCCAATTAGATACTACTTCAGCTCACCGGTGTGTTGGAGAGTAAATCCACAACATTATTTTGCTGCATGCTGCTTGCATGTATTGCACATGTATGATGTGTGTATGTATGTACAGAGTGTATCTTTAAATCGTTTATGCAATTGACATGCAAACAGCTTGCATGCAGTATAAATATACGGTACATGGTATGACTGTAATTTAGTGAAATTGGTTGAGAGCATTTCACTGAATGTAACATTTAAAATACATCTTAAACCTCAACTTGGGGATTTCTTTTTCAACACTTCCCGAGGCCTTTACTAAAATGTCGATAATGTTTCTGACCTTAAGACAATATGCCGTTTTATAAGAGAAACTGATATAATTGCCTTCAAAACGCTGTTAGGCAACTCTACGAGATTCAAATGCACAACACAACCAGGCAAAGACACACGCACATAGCAATGGCATTTCACGAGGCAAAAGTTGAATCTTTTTAGTTTCATAAGGTCAAAGGTACCTGCAGGAGGTCTGCTGTGCTCTGGCCTGTGCGCTCCCTGGAGCAAACTCTCGGAATATAATCTCCTGAGCAAAGTCAAAGTGGCAATTTCCTGGCCCCTTTCTCAGGAGAATGCCCTCTGGTGGAGACAGCACACGCCCGTCCAGCGCCACGTGGACTGTGCGGACCTGGGGGGTGGGATGGATGGACGTAGCAAGAACAGGTGTCAGAAAATGCAACTTGACTTCGACTCACGGTGAGATGCGTCCGCTTGAATTTCAAAGCGCTGTCCGGGTTATGAAGGTATGAAGTGGATTTCTGCTTTTTTTTATGGTCGCACAAAGTCGTCGGTGCTTGTCAAAAAGCCTCCGGCGCGATTTCCGCATTGTCATCGCATGGTTGTTCGTTCAGGATGTCTGACGTTTCACTCCATCCGCTGGAACCTTCTTCAGGACCTAATCAGTCCTGCAGTGGCAGTTGCTAAAGAGCTGAACCCGAACACACGTTACGGCACTACCTCGAGAGAAAGGCCTACACCCGGCAGTTTTCTCCAAGGTCAAGTGCTGTGTCCCGGCTTCCAGTGCAGTGGGGATGCGTGGCAGCAAATGTGCACAATTTGACGCCTGTGAATATCGCCATGCGTTTCTGCAGTGGCTACGTGGAGCCCTTCACAGGAGGGGTGCTGCTGTGGAAGTTAGCAAAGCTGCGGCAGGATCCCATAGATCTGGATTACATTTCTGGCCATGAACCGGGTGCTTCAAAATTTTTTTAACACTTATATGGGACTATCGTTTTTAATGTAACATCTTGACTTAAAGCTTTCGTGACTGCAGGAATTCATATTCTTTGGCTCTTTCAGTAAAGTCACGGAGATAGGTTATTTAGTTATTATCTTTGAACCTATGTACGTGACTTTACCGAAAAACCCAAAGAATACACTGTAACGAGATAAAAAAATGTATGTTAATAGCTTCAAAAAGTCAAAGAGTCTCCACTTGTTTGCCATCATTGTCAACACGTGCCTGGAATATTGCCCAGGTGATCTCCAGAGCCCAGAGGCAGCATATTTCTTGTGATATTGTTGCAAATTCTCAGAAGTGTTCACATTGTTCTGAAGCATCCTGTACAATACCAGTGGCAGGTATCAATTGCACATGCTCTTGGCCTTTTCTCGGTTGACAACTAGTAACCTGGTTCGGTATTTTTTTTTTATTGTCAACGATGACGCTCTGGTCATGGAAATAGCCGTGTGGTGATGGACACACACTGTGATTTATGTTGCTGCAGCAGCACCAGCATCATCTCGATTTGATATATCGACGTGGGAGCGAGACGCGTACAGGATGCGAGCTGAATGAAATACGGGAATGGAGAACACAGAGCCAGAACCATCAGGATGAAGTCTCCATGTAATAAGCATGTCACCTTATGACACTATGCGGCCCAATTGAAAAGAGTTTTGTAATCGTGATTAAACACATTCCTGCGGAGGGAGCTGGTAGGAACGTCGGGTTGCTCGGTCAATGGCCAGGGTCAACGGCGGCGTGGTGTATTCCGCAAATATGGCCGACTGTGAGGGCGGGCACAAGCCGGCGTAAGTAGGTTAAACGTCGAGTTTTATAAGGGAACCACGGGGTGACCAGCCCCTCCCCACCCAGCCCCACCCAGCCCCACCCAGCTCCACCCCTCCCACCCCCCACCCAGCCCCACCCTCCCCACCCAGCCCCTCCCCACCCAGCCCCTCCCCACCCTCCCCTCTTCACCCAGCCCCATCCCTCCCATTTTTGGATGCACGACGGTCGGACACAATAATCCCTTGTGGGCTGGTGGAACCAGGTGGTTCCTACCAGTATTAACCCTCGTATATTTGTATAGCATGGCCTTCTAGAATGCTCCACAGTTAAGAAAACAATCAGGATTGGGCAAATAATCACAACCTTTCATGCCTGTGACCATGATGTTTTGTGATCTTGAGCCATCTCGTCGACTCTGCAGCCGCAGTTACAATCCAAGGTGGAACATTCTTAGTAAGTTGGTATCTCTGCGTTTTAACTTCTGTATATAAATGAAAAAAACAGAGTGATTTTCTGCTCAAATGAGCACGGAGGTGATGCTCAGTCTCCTGTTTACAGCCCCGAGAGCCAGTGGTGGAAATTCCACCTTCCTATGACGGGGGCAACATTTATAAAGCCAGTGAATATAATTGCTATATAATAGAAACAGTAACATCATGAAAGCATTACATAACCTTCTAATAGAATATTAGTAGTAGTAGTACGAATAACAGTGACAAGGAGTAACTATTCGCACGGTACAGTAAATGGTAAGACTGTAACTATCTCTACACTACAGCACTACTTTACCATTAACGACATTCTTCTAAGTCATGGATGTAGCAGCTGATAATACTTTGTTAATTTATCTCTTGCATTTTTTGAGTTTACACAACACACAAGCCTTGGGGAGCATTCCCAAGGCTTACTTGTATTTAGCAAACGCACAACAGCGCTGCTCACAAGGTATATTGTAGAATATAAACACGGTAACATTTTTTTTTTATAAAAAGGCAATATATAATATGCACTGCTTGATAACACGGGACATCCCTTTTTATTGTGTTTACAAAAAAAAATCCAATTTGTAATACAACGCTTTTATAACATCCACGAAAATTATAGCGCCATTTTTTTTACGTTTTTAAAAATATTAATATCAGAGGTGCATGTCGTGCTCCATAAATCACACTCTGAAAACGATAAACATCTATAAACATTGGCGAGCGCGCGCGATAGGGGTGAAATATTTTAACCGCAAACTTTGTGCGCGAGCAAAGAACAACAAAAAACAATCGCCGTTAAGAAATTTGTACAGGTCGGCAAGAACGCCGAGACAGGGAAAACTTTTTGTGACGCCCCAAAAATATTTGTTGTTGTTGTTATATCAACAACAAAAAAACCGGCCGCTGAACATGTCGCGAATAACTCACCCCTTTGCTCGTATCCTCCGGCGAGCGGTTGTAATTCCAGAACCTGAGCCCGGAGATGGTGTGCGCCCGTGCCAGGGTGATGACCAGGAGGTGACTTCGTCCCGGTGTGAAAGGCAGGATGCACATGTGCTCTGCGCACATGGTCACATTCTCGCCGTCCAAGAGTCTGAGCGGAAAGCACAGGGAGGGGAGGGAAACCGGCCGTGAGAAACCATAGATGTACCTGTAACAGACAGTGGTCAGGGAGGCGTAATCCCGAGTCTGTGCGGTTCACACTTAAATAGCCCACCGGTTCCCTATTTCCGTAATGTGTGAAGCACAGGTACCGATATACGCGTCGTTTGTATCGTAACCTATGCAGCCATGCTTGTAACCACAGTCTGTATTGTACAACATCTGTACCGTAGCAGGACGCCCGTGAAATAGACCCGAGCAGCTCATTGGGCCCTTCCTGCTGAAATAAATTACATCGAAATCTAAAAAGGCGGCAAGAAGACATTTACGAGGCAGAATGATTTTCGTTTGCATGATGGATGTCGACGCAGTGTACTCGGCAATGTGCAGATGAGGATTCACTGGGCGAACATTGCCTCCGTGGAGAAATATCTGCTAATGTGTACAATTATTCGAATATCATTATGGACAAAATATTGCGGCACATTTTTGTAAAAAAAATCCTTCGTTCATTTGTTCCTTTCTCAGTCCGCTTGCCCTGGTGAGGGTCACGTCGGCAGCAGCGTGTTGAGTAGGGCGGTCCACACCTCCCTTTCCATATAACACTATACACTACTTTACACTACACTATACACTACACTACTTTACACGACACTACTATACACGACACTACTATACACTACACTACTATACACTACACTACACACTACACCATACTATAGACTACTATACACGCCACTATACACTATACTATACACTAAACTATACACGACTATACACTACACTATTCACTACTATACACGACTATACACTACTATACACTACTATACACTACACTATACACTACACTACACACTACACTACTTTACACTACACACTACACTACTAAACACTACACTAAACTATACACTATACACTACACTATACACTACACGACTATACACTACACTATACACTACTATACACTACTATACACTACACTATACACTACACTACTATACACTACACTGTACACAGACTCTAGCTCTTCCTGGATAATTTCCAGGCGTTCCCAGTCCAGCCGAGTGACATAGCCCTGCCAGTGTGTCCTGGGCCGGCCCCGGGCCTTAAAAAAACATCTCTCTCCCTCTCGTGTGCGTTATTAATGTGTCATCTTCCTCGGGCCTACGAGAAGTGGGAGGCAATGTGGGGATGGTCATGCTATAAAATGCCTCCTACGCCCTCTAACCAACTTTCACAAAATACTCAATGCAAAATGAGACGTGCTTGTACATGTGATGTGCTTTGGTCACGCAAACGTTTAAACACACATCTCATTTGGAGATGTTTAAACACACATCTCATTTGGAGATATATTTGTTTGAATGTAAATTTACACTCGGGTATTCAAAAGCCTAAAAATCCCACAACTCACCGAGGACTCAACGTAAACGCCGAGCCACTTAACACTGCTCGCATCTCCTTGTTTGTGTTTCATCTCCTACATCTGGCACCGCACAAGATGCGCATTCAGGTCGTGCGCAGCTCATGTCTTCTCGCCGTCCAAAATATGAGTGTGTTGGTGGCATTGAAAGACTGTGCGTGCACACATTTTAAGCGTGGCTCTTCAGGAAACGTAAACTCCCCCACCTCCTGCCTGAGAAAGCTACAAAGACCAAAAACAGCAGGATTTCTCCACAACTCTGGCTGTCGCCTGATGATGCTGGTTGTTGTAATTACCGGCGAAATGTCATGGTACTCTAATTGTAAATGTTGTGTGTTTACTCTCCAACGCATCGGTGTGCTGTGCTAGTAACGAATTGGCATGTTTTGTTTACGTGACAAAACCTTAGGAAATGGCTGTGTTGGGTGGTGGCGGGTTTAATGACACATTTATATGTACACCATCGAACCCAAACAACCTTTTATGGATTATATTGGTCGCGTAAGCCTTCGTGTTAAACTACGAACGTCACATTTTAACCGCTCCCAACCTCAGCCCAATACAGATTACATGGATGCATGCACGATTTGAAAACGCGTTTTTAGATTGTTGCTTGAATAAACGAGTCTTTCACAACAAAGATACGCTATATTTTTTAGATTTTAAAATAAATTTTATCCCCCACCCCCCACCCCATGTTGTGCTGGTTGTCACTTTAAAATCGTGAACATTCTGCCCTCTCCACGATATTGGAGAGAGGTATCAGAAAGGCCCCATTGCAGAGGTAAAGTGTTCCCCCTAAGGTTCACTTATCGACGTAATTTTACTTTAATATTTTCATTCTGCAGGTTGCAAGTGCGAAGTGGAGAAATATGGCTTAACCGTCCTGTATGTAAAGTGAATCTGTAGAGACACCGTTCACAGCAGCTGTCATTGCGTGCTGTGCTCCTCCTATTATCCACAATAAACCACGTGTCATCATCCATTCCCTCCCGTCGCTAGTAGGTCAAATACTGGTGAATAACAGGTGTTGAAATACATGCAAACTTAATGTAGGGTTTTCGCAGAGAATATATTAATCCATCATTGATTTTGGGTCAGGCCATGTAATGAGGTCTAGGCACCGATTTAAGATAAACTAAAATATAATTTTTTTGTTATTTAAACCATGTAAGGCCCACTGATCTATGTAGCTCTTTTGTTAGAAACGATCTGGCCACAAATGATAGCTCCACGAAGTGGCTTATCACGTGGAAACTGAGAGCAGACAAAAACTCTAAATGCTGGGTGAGATGACATAGTTATTCAGACTTCATGGATCTTTATTCTGACTCTGGATCTTGTCCTGATGATGCTTGGCACAGTTTAAAATAAAACTTCTCATCTCATTGCTCCCTTATGTTGTGAGAATTGTTCTTCGATATACCGCTGAGCCTAAACAATAATTATACACGCGTTATATGCGTTATACGCGTGTAAACGTAACAATGTAATTTTGTTGGTTGTGTGGGGTGGTGGAGGGTTCTTAATGATACAAATTTGTCCAGACCATTACGTCTCCTTACGCAAAAGGCTATTATGGATAAATATGGGGCGATTGGAAAGACAGTGCTGCCATTATAGACCAACAATATGGCATCAAGCAGCTCGCCAGTATTGTCATCAAAATACAGGGTGCTTCAAAAAAATGTTAACACTTCCGAGAATTTGCAACAATATCACAAGGAAATGCGCCTCCGGGCTATGGAGACCACCTGGAGAAGATTCCAGGCCACGCGTTGACAACGATGGCGAACAAGTGGAGACTGTTTGACGTCACAGTGTATTATCCGTTCCTTTTCCGTCAAAAACGATAGTCCCATATAAGTGTTACCATTATTTTTGACACCGTTGAGGTGCCACGCAACGTGTTCAGTTGTGGCCTTGAGAGATTTCCACGGCAGCATGAAGCTCGGTGCATACTCTGCCTCGACGGCGACGTGACGACTCGTCAAAGGGAGCCTCGCATTTCGGCAGCCACTTGCTCATCGACTTCCAAGAGAAGGTGACGCTCTGGGCGGCGTGCGACGATAACGGGGACGACGACGAGAAAGGGGGACGGGAGACGGATCGCGCGGCTCCAGAGCGCCGCGACGTATCGGGGCTTCGAGGTGGTGGCTTGTGACGCCTGTCGATGGAGTAGGAGGCGTCGTCAAGCAGCACAAACCACCAGGGTGGACTCCGGTCATCCTCTCAGCAGCGGTGGATTTTTGGCTGGTCATCGAACAAAGACGGTCACCGCGTCGCGCACTTTCAGATGTCCTTCTGAGGCCGTCTGGAACGCTCTTCCGATATTAGGAAGCCACTGGAGCTGTGCACTTTTAAATCACCTAGATCGACAAACGAATTTCTTTCGAATTGATATTGTGTATTTAGTTTGTTGTCCTTCCCCCGCACCTCTGATTAGCAAGTTTGGCTAGATACGGTGCGAAAGAAGTTCAACATACGTACAACTTACGTACATACGTACCTGTCGAGGCCGGAGGAGGGCGATTCATGCCGGGCCTCCGCGGCGCTAGCCGGGCTGCCAGGCGCGGAGGCCGAGGGCGCGCTGAGCATGCCCGCCGAGACGGGCAGCGCGTCGCCGCTGGCGCCCACCACCTCGAGCCCGTGAGCCCCAACTGCAGCTCATCTCCCCACGTGTGAGTCACGTTCAGCTGCAGGCCTAGCCCAGCGCACAGAGATCGCCGGGCCGGAGGAGCACCCCATGTCACCGCTGTCGAGTGCACCCCCCCCTCCCACTCCCGCCCCCCCCCCCCCGGGTTCCCCTGTCCCCTTACCCCTACTCCACCCTCCGACTCCCCCCCTCTCCTCCCCTCCCCCCCACTCTACCCCCACCCCTCCACCCCATCGTCCCACTCACTCGTCCCCCCCAAACCCTCCCACCTACCTCACCCCCCACTCCCCGCCCCCCCCCCGTCCCCACCCCCAACTCCGTCCCCCCCAACCCTCCCTCTCCCCCCTACCCCCTGTCCGCCCCTCCCCCCAACCCTCCCTCTCCCCCCTACCCCCTGTCCCCCCCTCCCCCCAACCCTCCCTCTCCCCCCTACCCCCTGTCCCCCCCTCCCCCCAACCCTCCCTCTCCCCCCTACCCCCTGTCCCCCCCTCCCCCCAACCCTCCCTCTCCCCCCTACCCCCTGTCCCCCCCTCCCCCCAACCCTCCCTCTCCCCCCTACCCCCTGTCCCCCCCTCCCCCCAACCCTCCCTCTCCCCCCTACCCCCTGTCCCCCGCCTAATGGTTGGTGGCACATTGTTAACATTTTCCAAAAACCTAAATCACTTCGGAGTCACACATAATTGTGCGCTGATGAATTATAATGGTTTTTGCTCTAATTACAGAGAAACTAAATTGAATAGAATAAATTTCCCACGAAGTTTTTTGTTTTGTTATTTGTCCTTTCCATCAGACAAAACTAAATGCGAGACTGCATTCAATCGGTCCATTTTGTACTTGTTGTGGTCATGTGTGCATCATTGTACGTATCTTTGTATAATTATTTCCCATTGATTTAACTGCATGGGAAGAATTTTGGAAAAAATTCAATAAACCCTGTCAGCAAATATTACCAAACTATATTTCAAACTTATCTGTTTAGACAGCAATTTTAATATAACCAAGCTTTTTTATTATGCTACTTTTGAAAATGTAACTGCTGAGTGAATGCTTCCTACTCACATGTCCCCGTATACTTTCCATCTGCTCCTGAACATGCATTAAGTTCTCCCTCCGTTTCTTCAGCAAAATCCAAACTCTGAAAAAAGTGTGAAGAGTCACAGCATGCACCTCTCATCACAACTATTTATATTTCACTCGATTACAGAACAAATACATGCGTGTTATCACCTTGTAGAATCTCAAATTAAAGGTGTGAGTTTGTGCTGGGAGGTTTTTTAAACCCTTTTTGAAACATTTTGGCTGCTCCCTTAAATATGCAATGTGCATTGCTCCATGCAATAACCTTTCACTTAAACGAATGCACTCCGTCGTGCTGTTTAGTTACAAAAAAGGTCAACCGCAGATTACCCAGACTGCCTCCAAGAGACGTGACATGCATCCGAAAATATCAGTGAATTATTTGAAGTGAAAACAATACTATCGACGATTTTTCTTTTTTCCACGTAAGGCCCACTGAGCTATGTAAGCTCTTTTTTCAGAAGCGACCTGGCCACAAATGATAGCTCAACTAAAGTGGCTTATCACGTGCATAATTCATAGCAGCCAAATACTCTGAATGTGTGATGTTGATTCTCAATGCGGAGGGAAAAAACCGGAGGACCCAGGAGAAAAATCCGCGCGAGAGACACGCAGACTCCAAATATACAGCAGGCGTCAGTGTCGGGATTGAACCTCTGACCCTCCTGCATACGAGGCGAGGGAGTTCACATCTTGCCAACGTGAACTGGACATCATTCACACCAGACAGGGGCACAACCAGGACTGCAACCTCAGTTCTAGATTTGAAGCTTTCGTGACTGCAAGGATTCATACTCTTAGTTCTTTCGGTAAAGTCACGTAGGTAAAAAATGAAATTCATTGGCTACCACATTCTGATGAGCTCCCCCCCCTCTCCTCCCCCCTCAACTTACATTTAAGGGATTACATCTTGAATCCTTGCCTCACTTGATGCAGCAAATCTGGCTGTGACGGCCCCACCTGATGACGGAGACTTGTGTTGCCTCCGAAACGTCGTGATTTTTATTGTTTTATTTTTATTAATTTCATTTTTTACCTACGTGACTTTACCGAAAGAACTAAGAGTATGCAACCTCAGTGTCTATGCAGTGGCTCACGACCAATTGTCTCGTCATGTATGCCTGCTTATCAGCCCCAGCAACTGTCCGCCTATCATCATCATCATCATCATACACGAGGTCAATGATTAAATAACTGTTTAATTACATTCACGCGTAGGCCATTTGCGTTAACACTGAATGAATTCATAACAATTGATTAAGTATTTACATTTTAATAACACTTAAAAAATCACCGCTGTACAGTTTAATTTGGATCGCCGTCCTCATGAAGCCGAGGGGAGGAGTGCTGAGGTTTACAGGAAGCGAAAAAGATTTATGATGAATGTGATTAACTTATTTGTCATATTTGGAAAAGAAAAGTTAAATAAACGTTATACATGAGAGAGGGCACAAGCAGACCGCGTGTAATGACTGAGGCATTCAATTGCGCATCTTCACCCAATTTCATCTAACATACATTTAACATAAATCTAACACACATCTAACACACATCACAAATCTGGCTGCTGCCTGATAATGCCGGTTGTAATTACTGGCGAAATGTCGTTACTCAGATTATAAATGTTGTGGATTTTCACTCCAACACACCGGTGTTGCTGTGCTAGTGACGAATTTGCACGTTCTGTTTACGTGACAAACCACACTAATTGGCTGTGTTGGGTGGTGGTGGTTTTAACGACACATTTGTATTCACGCGATCCAACCTAAAATAAACCTGTATTGTGGAACATACATCTAACATATAGCATACTTTGAACATATAACACACAGGCATATGGCTTTAAAATTGCGAGTGCGTACACGTCAAGCAGCACTGCTTGGGTGACCCCACGTGACCACCACCGTTCCACCTCACGTTCTCCCGAGAGATACCGTGCATATATCCCAGGGGTGCGCGTACCACAGGTTGGCAACCGCTGGTCTGGACCCAATGTATCTGGCGGGTTGTGCCCACTGCGGTACCTTCTGCTGCTCGCAGCTGGGCAAGGCGGCGCAGGTGATTGGCCTCTCGTCAGCGTCTCTGTCGCTCGTTCGCGGCCGGTTGGGGAGCTCCTCTCTGCTCTCTTCCTCCTTCCACTCCTCCTGAAACGTCTGGTCGTGCTGAGCCATGGCCTCGAGGATTGAGTCGTCGGTGGTGAAGAGAATTGTGTCTCCGAACTGCTCCGCGCCTGAAAGAGAGGGGGCCGTACATCCAGCGCGGCGTCGCCAGAAGAACACTTTAAATTGCAAAAGTATTTTGCACGCGGAGTGGACTCGGCGAGGATGAGTCCCAAGGTACGTGCGAGTTATACTGGTTATATCAGTCATATTCTAATGATCGGCTTCACTCGATGAACGATGAGTCGAACCGTGACGATCATTTTGGATTCTACTTTGCAAAAAACGCTGTGTGTCGCAGTGTGCTTTATACACAAAGGATGGGTGAAATATTGTATTGTACAATAAAGATGCAACAATGGCATTAAGCGCACAATAACTTACATAGTTTTGAAATATTTAAATGTAACCACATCTTGAATTCTGTACATAGAAGCACAGTCTCTTTGGGTGATGATCGAGATGGGGTGATAATAATATCGCTTCACATCAGTCTGTAAGTATGCGGTGATGCTGCTATGTAAATGCTGCGGGTTCACTCTCCAGCACACTGGCGTGCTGAAGCAGCAGCTAATTGGCACGTCTTGTTTACGTGACAAACCTCAGCGATTGGCCGCATCGGGCGGTGGCGGGTTAACAACGCGTTTACACGCACGCAATCTCTATTTACATGAAAAGAAAACCTTTCATTTACAAATCGCCACGATCAAGCCGTCCTCACCCAAGGGCATAACCGGGCAAGCATCCGTACCCTGGCCCCGGCTTACCCCCGCGGAGCGTGCCGGAAGCCTTGGCAATCTCCCCGCTGAAGACGAGGACCCCGTCCAGGGAGATGTCGAGGTGGCGCGCCCCGCGGCACGCGTGGATGCGCGACTTGTTGTAGTTCCACACGCGGATCATGGCGACGTGGCACGGCTCGGCGAAGGCGAGGTGCACCAGGTGCGCCGCTCCCGGCGTGAACGGCGCCAGCCACAGGTGGCCGTCGTCCTGCGTGCGGTAGACGCCGTCCACCAGGTTGGCGGCGACGCGCGGGTCCCGCCCGTACTCCGGCAGGACATTGATGTCGGCCGGGTCGGCCACCACATCGGCGATCTGCACCGGCTCGCCCGTGTCCGCGAAGACCTGCCGGACGTTCGAGCGATGTTTAACACGTAGGCTTTCACGACCAATATTATTCACCCGACACAGCCAGTAAGTTCCTTAGAAGGGAAATAATAAAATAATAAAAATTAAACATAATAAAATACAATTCTCACTACGTTTCGGCGTGCTCATTCAGACACTGTCTTTTCGTACAGACCTGTTCTTCACCTGAGAACGGCTGCTTGCGTTGTGGCCGAAACGTCGTGAGAATTGTATTTTATTATGTTTTATTATTATTTTATTATTTCCCTTCCACATGACTTTACCGAAAGAACCAAGAAGATGAATCCCTGCAGTCACGAAAGCTTTAAATCGAAATTTAACAGCCAGTAAGCTTTGTCACTTAAACAACGCGCCAATTGGTTACTACTTCAGCACACCGGTGTGTTGGAGAGCACATCCACAACGTTTACAATCCGAGTACGACGTTTCGCCAGTAATCACAACCTGCATCATCAGGCGACAGGCAGACTTGTGGCTGTCGCCGGCGTGTTAAACTGGGATGCAGAGTGGTCCACACGGAGGGGGGCGGCAGCGGAGAACCGACGCGCGTCTGTGGCAGTTCGAGGCCGTCGGCCATGACCGCACGCAAGACCCCGGCGTCACGTGCCGCTCCGGTGAAACCTTTTGCCGATGCGTTCGGTGGGCCCTACCTCAACGCCATTCAGGCCGACGTAGTGGCGGTCTCCCCAGGTGCTGCAAATGTTGATGAGCAGGTGTTGGCCACGTGGCAGCACTGGGATATCAAATCCTTCCCAAAGGCGTTCCACTTCTGCTTCCCAGCCGCTCTGCTGGTGGACGTCCAGGCTCCTGCACAAACGGAGCGTCCACTCAATTAGACTTCCGACGCACGGCACGTTACTGCACCGTGAAACACAATCTGTAAATAACACGAGGAAATGCGGAGCTTTCGCCAACCCGCGAAGACAATGCTTGCGCACATGAGCAACATCTAAACACATGCGAAGTCATTACACGCTATTTTTTTATTAATATAACTTATTATGAATACTGTAATGTCCATCTATATTTTGTTAAAAACATAATGTGCTTTTGTGCGAGTGTCGTCATTTAGCATTGTGGCTTCATGCATTGCTCAGTCGAGGACATGTTCTGTTGTGCGGACAGCAAAGTGAAAACTGAGTCTGTCTCGACCGTGATCCTCTCTCGAGTGTCAGCGGTACTTATTTATCATTTTATATTTCCCCATCGCCCCTCCCCTCCACCCCAAGTTCATTCCGATTGTGCTATCAGTGTCGCGAGACGAATGATCTATTTGGGTCGCTCATGAAACAGTACATTGCATCACCCCATTATAGCCACGAAACAGATATTACAGAACTACCGTTGAGATTCCTTCAAGTGACCTCTTAGCACACTAGAGGGCAACCCTCTCCCATCCGTCCATCTAATGTCAAACTGATGGGGGTTTTTTTTTACCTGCGGAACTGGAAATTTGCCAAATCAAGTGCGAAACGGAATTTAATCACGTTTTTTTGTGTTGTCATTGGTGACCGGATTGAGACGATCCAAGTGGCCACACTTGAGTGCCTGGTTTAATTGCATTATTAGGTGACGCCGTATTGGCAGTGGTGCACAGGCACATTTAATAATAAAAACCCGACACATTCGTCAGTAGCACTGCCGTAAAAAAGAGAAGACTGTAGTCTCTGGCCTCTCTATGTGCTGGGAAGTAAGGGACATAGCCCAAAAATATCGACTAATATAGATTGTTCTTCTTTGCCAAG